AGCCTTCCACCCCCCTCCAGGCGCCTCCCCGCAGGCAGCTCCTGGTGCAGCAGCGCTCTCAGTCCTCGGCCATCATCTCCTCGAGCGTCAGAGACCCGGCAAACTGCCCTGCTGCCCACAGACCTTCCGACCAAGCAGTGGGTCCAGTGCAAAGGACTCTGGGAAACACCTGAAGAGGGGACGCTTGGGAGCCGGTTTGATCCCATTTCCTTGGCCATCACAAAGGCTGGGGGCCCCATTGCACGAGACCAGTGACAGCCCGGAGCTGCCCCTGGGCATGCCGAGCGTCAGAGACCCGGCAAACTGCCCTGCTGCCCACAGACCTTCCGACCAAGCAGTGGGTCCAGTGCAAAGGACTCTGGGAAACACCTGAAGAGGGGACGCTTGGGAGCCGGTTTGATCCCATTTCCTTGGCCATCACAAAGGCTGGGGGCCCCATTGCACGAGACCAGTGACAGCCCGGAGCTGCCCCTGGGCATGCCGGATTGTTAGCGGGGTCCCCTCTCCAGGGCCACATCCTGCTCCAGGGCGGAGGGACGAGTGGCTGGGGAGTCACTCCCATGCCAGAGAGGCTCCAGCTGACTGCCAGCTGTTTCCCAGCTGCTTGGGGAGCAGAGCGTGCTACTGCCATACAAGTTTAGGGCCGTGGCGAGAGGACAGCAGAGAACAGCTGGGCTGGACTGGGGGAGGAGGGTCTCCGAGACTCAGCGATTAACCTCCTCTTAGCTCCCCACCTCTGCCTACCCCCCTTCCCTCCAGCCCCCGAGTGTCGGCGTCCCACCCCGTCCCAGCCGGGAGGCACAGTGCAGCGGAGTTGCTCCTGGCACCCTCCAGGTGGGCGAAGTGGCCCCCGGACGGTCGGCGCTCGGCCGCACGGCAGAAAGAGACAGAGCAGGCGTGGCTGGTGCTCTCAGTTTGTCCTCAGAAGGTCTTTATTTGCCAGTGGTACAGTGCAGCGATCACACAGCAGCTTCTGGGCGGTCGTGGTGGAAAGAAACGTTTGAGACAGGACCCAACCCTACAGACATGCAGCTGCGAGTCAAGGAGAGGGGGGACGGTCGGCGCTCGGCCGCACGGCAGAAAGAGACAGAGCAGGCGTGGCTGGTGCTCTCAGTTTGTCCTCAGAAGGTCTTTATTTGCCAGTGGTACAGTGCAGCGATCACACAGCAGCTTCTGGGCGGTCGTGGTGGAAAGAAACGTTTGAGACAGGACCCAACCCTACAGACATGCAGCTGCGAGTCAAGGAGAGGGGGCAGGAAAGCCGGAGTGGTGGGCCCACAGCCCGGAGAGCCACAGGCTGGGAGAGCCCGGGGGAGCCCCATTGGTGGCAGGTCAACCCCACAGGCCCTTCGCAGTGGGACTTGGGTTTCCTTCCTGTTTAGTTTGGGGCCAGGGGAAGAGGGCGCAGGGAGCTGATGGGCCAGGCCTGTCACTGGGGGGAGGGGAGAGGCCCAGCTCTGGTCAAGGGCTCTCGTCTGGACTCATCTCCCCTACCTTGCACCCAGGACCAGGCAGGCCTGCCTACATCTAGGCCCAGGGAGGGTTGGAGGGGCACCCGGGGAGGCAGTGGGGCCCAGGGAGGATGGTTGGGCGGCAGGGAGGATGGTTGGGGGGCCCAGGGAGGATGGTTGGGGGGCCCAGGCTGCTAAAATACAAGCTGGCCAAGGCGCTATTTTCCCTCAGGCCTGCCCTGGGTCTGCCAGGCAGCAGCACGGCGGGG